AAAAAAACTTACTAGTGTGCCACAATAAACATTATGTACACAACATTAGCTAGCACCATTTTCCTCCCCAAAATGCAAACTCTAATAAGTTCATTTTATCTCATGCAAAACTATTATCTCATGCAAATTGTCTTATGCATCGACCACAACCCTTGAACAATACTTTATCTCATGCAAAACTATTATTTCTTTCTGTTTTTTTGGTAAAATAATGAAACTACGTACTATATTTATTATTTTAGTATTTCCTTAATTTTAAGTATTTGGCCCATACCTAGCTTTTATTTTTTCTTGACAAGTTTTTTATTCTTTTAATTTCTATTTTTAATACAATGAAAGAATTTTTTTAACTTTTATTCCTTCCTGGCAACAGTGTTTTTGAGTCAGAAGCTAGCACCGTTCCTTCCTTCTTTTAAGTATATATTGATTTGTGCACCATATCTTCCTGCATTTTGATGGAAGATATATATAGATAAAATGCTCACTGATTTCTATACATGTGTGTGTGTGTGTGTATCGTAACATACTGTTATTATCGATAGACTTGATATTCTTTAAGAAATATCTCAAATTTGAACCTTCAAGATTTGTGGGAGATTATTTAAAATATAAGACAAGATCAAAATACTTTGCATTGCCCAAACGATCCATTCGGTTGGTCCAACACGCCATGGAATGTGCCATTAGTTTGTGGCCGCACCTGATTGGTTTTTTTTTTTTTTTTCCAAATCATGTTAAGCCTTAAGAAAGCCTCGTGTTAATATTAGCTCCACATATTTATATTGTTTTGTCCTTTTCCCTTTATTTTCACTGAGTTATAATTTCTTTTTGTTGTTTTTTCCAGTTGAGGTGTCCCCAACACTCCGAATTATTTTTAGAGGCAAAATTGTGTTGTGATGAAGATAATGAACCATGAATATAACGGAGGTGAAAGTTTTATTAGTTTGATGTGACAATCGCTCGATTTTTAATACACTAGGAGCAACATTGTGGCACTAAATATTTTAAGATGTTGAATGCCTTAAAAAATAATTCTGGATGCTAGATGCAACTTAACTCTTTTTATACAAATCCTTTTTTATCAACGGCACTTGTTGAAATATTGACAGGGAATATGCTTCATCTGCGGTTTGCTCGCTATTTGGCACTATTTACTTATCTTGCAAATAAAATAAAAATTGAAGAATGGAAATTATAAACTAGGACCACATAATGTATTAAATTACTCATCATAGTAACTTTCAATTTCAATAATTGTTCTTAAGGACTTTGATCCATTTCTTAACTTTCATTATTATTTGTTTGCTCGTTATTTATAATTCTCCCATTGGAAAACCTCTATGAATAATTTAATTGTATCATCACAATGTGGCCATAGAAAATTTCTTTAAAATTGTCACTTGTCATTTGTCATTACAGTGTAGAGTCATCCTATAAAGAGCTTTCAAAATTAAACATAGAAAAATTCATTTTAACTTGCTCAAAATCCCAAATTTTGAGAAATTTATTGGCCATTCATTGCAACATCTAGAATCAGATGTGACGGGCGAACATGCAAAGGCTTTTTGCTCTTAATAATTGAGCTCCTAGGCAATAATGAATGATGTACAAGTAGTAATATGGCGAAATTCCAAAATGGCATCTCATGATATTATTAAGAGTTGTTATTGTTATTATTTTTTCCCCAACATTATTAAGAATTATATCCGATGAACTTTGTATTTGGGCCACAACGCATGCGCCTTGATTAATTAGTTCCTCTAATTTGTAGCTTCATGCACAAAGTTCTTTAAGTATTCTTTCAAATCATGCATAAGCAAAGCAAAATTGCAGAAATACCATAGCTCCTATTTCTTTTGTATGAACTTATGTCCACACATAATATGATGCATAAATTTTGGAAGCTCAACCAAGGGAAGTTAATTATATAGCCATTAAGTGACCTCTTAAGAAGTCCTTGTGGTACTTTTTTTTTTGTGTATATAAATTAAGCAGAACAATATACTAAGCATTGAAGTTACATGCGTACCTTTATCAGAACAGCATCAGCAAGAGGAATGGATTTGAACACGTGGCCGCCAACAAAACTCAAATTGGTGTTTCCATGCATACCTCAGGAAGATCAAGCACTGTGCATTTCAAATTGGGAAATGCTTCACAGATAGTGTTAGCAATGGTCCCAGCTCCACCATCAACATCAACAATGAAATCCAATCCATCAAAAACATTCAAATTCTCTAATCAAAGCCACTTTAATGAAATCTCGAATCACCAGCCATCCCTTCTTGAACAACCGCCATATCTTCTGGGTTCTGTTCACGAAACTCAAAAGCATTCCCTATGCCAAATATTGTCTCTCTCAATGTGTTTTCTTCCCCACAAACCCATTTCCCTAAGTGATGATACAAATCAATTATAGAAGGGTATGTTGCCAACTGAACTATTGGACATAAACAACGGTCTGTGCCATTCACAAGAAGCTGTGATGCAGAATTGAAATCATATGGTACTTCCTTCTTCATTGTTTTGGTTTTGATGATAGTGAAGAGGCCATTGTGAGCTAGCAAGCGCATGCACTGCTGCAAAAAAAAAAAAAACATTTTACAGAGGTTAAAATGAGCTTTTCATGGTAGTTTTGAGAACGATGTCAATGCCCTCGATCTAAACTGTGGAGGATTTTACAGCAGTTTAAAAACTGCTGTGGTATTTTCACAGCTATTATATGAATAACAGTTGTGAAGAGGTTTTTTTTGTAGTTTCCTTTTCATCCTATTGATCAAGATGAAACAAGAGAACAAAACTCCAAGGGAAGGGGTTTGAGAATCAATCATCTAATAGCCTGCCACTAATCAAAAGCATTCTGATAAAGCAAACATAGACCCTTCTCCACCATAATAGCACCACTTAGCTTCACCTTCAGTTGCCAGATCAAAGCCAGTATGATTTAATGAAGGTAAAATGAAAGACTCATATCTAATAAAATTTGTTAATTTTAGGATGTCAAACTCCGACCTACAACATGAGGGAAACAGAAATTGGATCTATTCAAGCTTTCAAGTATCAAAGTATATTTAAGCAAGGAAAGAAGAAAAAATTAGATCTATTTAAACTCAAAACAAACATCATATTTTTAATCAACGAAAACAACTGAGTCACAAAATCTATGAAACTCATGGAAAGAATGCAGGAGAAAGGGCAAAAAAACTCACAAAAAAAAGATGAAGAAGATGGAGCGATGGTGACAACAATGGTGATGGAAGAGCATGGCGGAGACAATAAAAAGAAGGGATAAATGTCAAGAAAGATAGGAGGAGAGAGAAAATTGAGTGGGGGATCATGAGTTCTGACTGTGAAAAGTAAAAAACTATCACGTGACGGATGGGGTTTTGAAATTCTGATAAACCGTGAAAAAGACTTTCTTGATAACCACCATGAAAAGTAAAATTTTCTTCCATATAATTGCAAAAATGCTACTGCCATTTTTTTTACCGCATTTTGCCCAATGGTTACTGTAAACTAGCACCATGAAAGTTTTTTTTTTTTTGGTAGTAATGAGACCTTTAACAAAGGTAGTTTTAGAGGGTGGGTTTTTGAAATCTGATACCAAGTGAGAAAGAGGGATGGGTTGGCATTCTTGTGGATTATGTCTGATATTTCAAGCTCAATGGCACACTTTAGACACAAAGAAGACGTCCAAAGATACATGAGTCTGTATAATTTTGCTTGGCCATTAAACAACACACCGGTTTTCTGTCCAGTTCCATCCATGGATGAATGAGGTGGTGGAATTGTCATTAAATAAAAACACACAAAAGAATTGTTGTATGCACGTTTTAAATTTCAGTTTGTTGGTGGGAATTGTGCTTCCCCCCCCCCCCCTTCCCAAGTGTAATGCGCGCGCACACAGAGATATATCAAACATAAAGGGCCTTTTGAACCAAAATAAAAAAAACAAAAGGCCTAGCTAGTAGACGAAGCTGAAAGTTGAAGGGAAAATATTGGGCCAATGAACCAAACAGTACGCACTAAGCAACCTTCGGATAATGATTTCACTTTCCATACAAGTAATTTGTTATTTCTCTTTCTGTTCATTTGTAGTTGTAAAAGTAAGAGTTAAAATACAAGCAGAAAATGACACCTAGAAAGAAGACCGCAAATGCTCCAGCAAAACTCCATAAGAAGGCATCTTGGAAGCCATCTTCTTGTTGGTTTCTCTCTGCTTGTTTATCAATAGATGAACACTTACGCTGTAGCAGTGGACCACAAAGAAAAGGATTCCCTTCATAACAACTTGGGTCAAAAGTTGAAAATTGATTTTTCATGTCAGGTATTGCACCAGCTAAATTATTATGAGCCACAGAGAAGACAGACAAAAAATACAACTGTGTCAGTTGTGAAGGAATATGGCCTGTCAATTTGTTGTTTGAAAGATCTAAACTCTCTATCTGCACAAGGTCAGAAAATGTTTTTGGAATAGGCCCTGACAAATGATTGTTTGACAAATTTACTGTATGGATAGTGTTGAGTTGTCCAATTTGCAAAGGGATTTCACCTGTCAACTGATTATCTGAAAGATCTAGGCCAGACATTAAATCTAATATATTTCCTTCATATGATTCATACCTACTTTTTGACATGAAGTTCACTTCTTGCTCCTTGTACCATGAAAAGCTTAGTTCAATTTCACCTTGAACAAGCTCGCCACTTGTACGGTTGAATTCAAATAACGGGCCTCTTGTAGTCCAAGGGACAAAAAATTTTCCTAGTTTGGCTTCACCCATCTCGGCCATCCTTCTAAATGTGATGTTACTTAAGCAATATGGTATCCCTCCAGAAAGCTTGTTTTGTGAAAGATCCAGTATGTTTATGTTCTTGAGCTTACACATTTCCATAGGAATGGAACCTTCGAGTTTATTTCCCTTTAGGAGGACGAACCTTAAATTCAACATTGACTTGAACCACCTCGGAATTTGACTTGAAAATCTATTCTTAGTCAAATCCTAAGTTAACAGCAAGGGAGATTCTGTCAAAACAGAAGGTATGGGTCCTGTGAAATCATTGCTTCGTAAATGCAAGTACCTCAGTGGTGACATGTTTAGGCAGCTGGGCAAAGTTCCATTGAATCTATTTTGAGAAAGGTCTAGGTATTTGAGCTCAGCTAAATTGCAAAAGCTTTCAGGTATCGGACCTGTCATAGAATTTTGGTATAAAATGAGATGACCCAAATGCTTAAAGTTTCCAATCCAGCTAGGCATTTCACCGTATAGTTGATTTGCACTTAACTCCAACATTCTTAATTCTAAACTCTTACTGATCCCATCCGGTACTTTTCCTTTGAAGTTGTTGTTGCTTAGATCCACATAGAATAAATGTGTGAAATTTGAACCTTCTGGTAAACATGGGTCACTTAAGTTGTTGTTTGACAACTTGAGAAACCTCAAGTCATTGGTACCCTTACCAAATTCATGAGGCAAGTAGCCAGACAAATTGTTATGGGACAAGTCTAGCCAGTTCAGCTGCGTCATGTCAGCGAGTGAAGCTGGAAATCCACCCTGTAATGAACTCGAAGACATGTTCAGAGAAAGCAGGTTGGGAAGAACAAATCCAATATGAGGAGGGATTTCATCATTAACATGGTTAGAGGAAGCATCAAAATATCGCATGTCAAATAATTTTGACGGAGAGTTAAGCTCAAAGGGGCCAGTCAAGAAGTTGTAGCTGACACTAAGAGAAACTAATTTGGTGTTGTTTGTCAAAACCCACTTTGGGAAACTTCCCGAAAGATTCAAATGGGCAAGCTGCAGAACTCTCAAGTCAAATTGATGGAGAAGAAAAGAGGGTATTCTGTGATTGCTTGCTCCATTCCTAGTGCATTTGGATACACTGAAAATATTTAATTGGAAGGAAGGGAGGAATTGGGGGTATTCAGTTTCAAGCTTGAGATTGGGGTTATTAGAGCAAGAAATTATGAAGACTTGAAGGTTGATGTGGTTGGCAAACAGAGAAAGTGATGCTATGTCAGTGAAAGAGTTTTCATTTAAAGTAATGAATGTGAGGGAGTTGGGCGAATGAAAGAGTTCAGAAGGGAAGGTTCCTTCAAAACCATTGTATTGAAGATCAAGTACACCGAGAGATGTCAAATTATTGAGGCACGGAGGAAGGAGTCCCTCAAACTTGTTGCGACCAAGAGACATTACTTTCAGATTCGTCATATTGCACAACCCTCCTGCAACATGTTCATTTTGTGATTAAATTCTTCAAGTGATGGTTTTGGAGAAAATAAAAAGGAAAACTTTAAGCCATAGCTTATACTTTCATATTAACAACTTCTAAAAAATTGGTGTGTCGTGCTACACCAATTTATGTGTAAATTATATCAGACTTGACAAGTTAGCTTATGATTAAATATTTGAGCTAAAAAAAAAATAGTTGATTAATCATAAGCCTAAAATGGAATTCGAGCTGATAGGATGTGTTGAATGCCGAAAGTTAACTTCTGAAGTGCAGACAAATGGAGACTATGTAGGGTCTTCTATCGGCTAGATTATATAACAATAATGAAGTAGAGCGTAAAGGTCAAGAGTTCCATTATTCTTTATCCAATTTAGGGGAGAAAAAAATAGAGACTACATAGAACAAGGAAGAAATCAAATTTTTTTATCTTGATTTTTGTATTTAGATCACCATGAATGTTTCCCCCTTGTTTTACACTTTGTCTAAATTAAGTATATGTCAACATGAAGTTGTTGAGATAAGCCAAGTTTTACTATTAAAATACTACCTCCATCCTTTTTTATAAGCAACAACTACCATTGATAACTCATTATTTTTAATATATTGAAAGAATATTTTAAGTGATTTTTTTAGAGTTATCAATGCATTCTTGGTGATTTTTAAGAGTTAATTGAAAGATTTGATTTTAAGCATGATTTGAGGATTATCTTATAAATATCTTAGTTTGAAATAAATTAAAATAATTAATAATAATTTTAAGATTTAATTGATTTTTATCTTATCTTATTTTAATTTCTTATAATTTATTTTCTTTTCTTTTCTTTTATTTTCCTTTTTATTTTGGCTTTTTCTTTTATTTTATTTGCCTTTTTATTTTAGCTTCTTTCTTTTATTTATTTTATTTTCTTCTCCCTATTCCAGCAAGCGTCAACGCACCGTAGAATTGAATGGGATCATGACCAAGGACGTGCTGGGGATTTGGGACTTTGAATCTTCATCCTTGGACACGTGTTGCGTTGGTGAATTGGAAGACTTATGAGGGGAGCTCGAGCACGACACCGTTTGCACTTTGGGGAAGACCTATTGATCACTATTCATCATCATCTTAAAAAAAAAAAAAAGAGGGCCGAACTGTTGGAGGAACAGGGGAAGGCGCCGAAGGGGGTCTAACTGTTCTGGAGCTGATCGTGATTGTCTTGAAGGAAGGCCGCCTAAACTGTTCTGGGTGATCTTCTTCTTCGCTGGACCTGAGGAGAAACGCCCATTGGTTTTGCGAGAAGAGACGCCAAGCTGGTTCGAAGAGAGAGAGCTGGAGAAGGATCCTCTTCTTTGGCAGATCTTGGAGGACGAGTTTGGCGGAGCTGAGAGAGGAGAGACGAGGATTCGCGACTGGAACCAGAGGTGAACGTGATTTGAGTGAGAACCAGAGGACCATCTGCAACTTGGGATTCTTCTTTGATGGTCGAAAGGCCAGAGGAGAGTGCATTGCAACTTGTTCTTCTGTTTCAGTGTTTTATTTTCAATTATTCTTCCTCTCCATCATGATTGTGAATCTGAATTTTATTGTTGCTGAGATGATTTTGTTCGCAGTCATGTGTGGCTAGCGTGTCTTACAGCCTAGAGGAATTATGAACTTGCTAGTGGATTAATTTGTGTTTTTACTGAATTGAGGATGCTTAAGGTTAAATTTTGGTTACTTAATCTTGTTCTTTATTTGTCCATTTAGTGACTGGCCACCATTAATTATTTGAGAATTAAAGTTTTCCTTAACAAAAAGGATTTTAATTAGGCTCTTAGATTAAGTAATATGGGATTGGATGATAATCTAATTTGTGATTAGGATAGAAATATACCTAATTGCCCCGTATAATTGTTGATGAGTGAGACCGAATTGTTTAACCTCTTAGGTAATTGTGTAAGAGATTACATAATTAATTTAAGAAAGGGTTATAAGTGGACTGGCAGGTACTTGTAGCTAATTGAACTCTAGACTAACAAAATTGACATTAAAGCTAATCAATTTTGTGAAACAAGATTTAAGAAGCTAGCAAGAGATTAGTGACTCTAAATTGATTTCTTTAATATTTGCTCTAGTGATTTGAGAAAGCTTTGTTTTATTTATTTTAATTTCTTTGCACACAATTTCATTAAATCCTCATTTTCTCAACTTAAATGAAAAGAGGATTTTTATTGCCTAATCACTGTTAATTGAGTTCTCTGTGGGATCGACCTTGATTTACCACTGTCTATTTTATTGACCCATACACTTGCGGTACGTCTTAATATTTGGTAGCGTCAAGTTTTTGGCACCGTTGCCGGAGAACTCAAGGCAATTGGTGGTTAGAATTAGAAATCCTTTAGTAGTTTTCGATTGAGTGTTGTCTTTAATCATTTCTTTCTTTGTTTCTTTTGTATTTGGTTATTTGGATAGATACTTTTGGGATTTTTTTTGTTTTTCAGGTACTAACTATATGCCCTGCAAATCCAAACATTCAAAAACACCATTGAAGACAAGGAGTCTCAAGGACATCTTAGCCGAACCATCTCCTGAAAATCAAGAGAAGGAGGGTGCTAAAAGTGTGAAAGAAGATATGGCTAAGGATGAGAACAATCATTTGGGTGTCAATGATTTTCTAGGAAGGCAATCTAGAGATTATCAATCTAGAATCAAAGTACCTGAATTTCAAGCAAACAACTTTGAGATTAAACAAGCAATGCTCAAGATTGAATTGAATGGGCAATTTGAGGGAAACAGTAATGAAGATCCTAACTGGCACTTGATTCAATTTTTGGATGTTTGTGACTCTTTCAAGCAGAATGGAGTTCCCAAAGACGTCATTCGTCTAAGGCTTTTCCCTTACTCTCTACAAGGAAAAGCTAAAGCATGGCTTAACAATTTGAAGGAAGTGTGAAGTCTTGGGATGATTTGAAAGAGAAGTTCAAAGCAAGGTTCTTCCCACACAACAAGATGGTAGACACAAAAACCAATCTCATAAATTTCCGCCAACAGTTTGGTGAGTGCTTATTCGAAGCTTAGGAAAGGTTTAAATTGTTGGTTAAGCAGTGCCCAGGACATAATCAAGAGAAATGGGTTTTACTTTAGATCTTTAGTAGCCGGTTAACTCTTGAATCCAAATCTGAGATGAATGCCGTCACTAATGGTGGAATTACAAAACAATCAGTAAATTATGTTTGGGGTTGTTTAGATGATTTGGCAGCTGACTACATTCAGAGCAATAGTGACAGAAGATCAATGAAATTTGCTGAGAAAGTTACTGAAGATACTTCTTCATAGTTGATGGCAATGTTGGGTGCAATCAACAAGAGGTTTGATCATCTAGAAGCTCAAGTTAAGCACCTTAATGGTGGACCTATGGGAGTTAATGCTTTATATACTTCTTGTGATTATTATGGGGGTGCTCATACTACTGGTTAGTGCCTCATCTCTCCACAAGTAGAGGCGGTGAATTGCGATGGAAACTATCATGGGAACAACTAGAATAATGCATATTCAAACACATATAACTCAGGATGGCACAACAATTCAAACCTCTATTGGAAACATGGGGCAACACTTAATCAAGCCTCAACTTCTAGTGCAAAGCAAGTGATTCCTCCTGATTTTCATCACTTAGAAAAGGAATTTATTCCTATTCAAGAGTCTAAGCCTGATCTAGAGGCGATGATGAGTAAGCTTATGAGTTTGTAACTGAAGAACACTCAAGATCAAGCTAACATCAATGCCAAGCTAGATTTCTCCATCAAAAATTTAAAAGTGCAAGTGGGACAAATTGCAAACGCAATGAATTCGTTGCAATAGAGAGGGTTGCTAAGTGATACTGTTCCTAACCCTCGTGGAGAAGAAATAAGGGAGTGTAAAGCTATGACTCTTCGAAGCGGTAAGGTATTACTTGAGATTCCACAACCAGCAAAGAAGTCTTTAGAGTCTAGTGTTCAAGTAATTCCTAAAGTCATGGTATAGGGTGACGAAGAGGCTATGAAAGAGGACACTGTCAAAGCCAATGAGGAGACGGTTGGAAATAAATCTACAAGAAAGAGTTAAGCAAAGAAAAGACAACTAACGAGTATCAAAATTGGGTGCCGCCTTTACTATTCCCTCAAAGATTTCTGAAGAAGGCATTTGATGATCAATATAAGAAATTCTTGGAGATTTTCAAGCAATTGCATATTAATATTCCATTCATTGAGGCTTTGGAACAAATGCCTGAATATGCTAAGTTTTTGAAGGAGATGTTGAGTAAGAAGAAGCATTTCACTGAGTTTGCAATTGTAGCACTGACCAAAGAGATCACTGGTGCCATTAAACCTAATGTTCCTTTCAAGTGTAAGGATCTTGGTTCCTTTACTATTCCATGTTTGATGGGTGACAAGTTTGAATGCTGTGCTCTATGTGATTTGGGTTCTGCTGTAAATCTGATGCCCTTGTCTATTTTCAAGAAGTTGCAATTAGGGGGAGTCAATCCTACCACTGTTACCCTCCAACTAGCTGATAGAAGTATCTCTTATCCATATGGCATTATCAAGGATGTCTTAGTGAAAGTTGATTCGTTTATCTATCCTACTGATTTCATTGTGCTAGACATTGAAGAGGATAAAGAGATTCCACTGATTGTGAGACGACCATTTTTGGCTACAGCTAGAGCATTAGTGGATGTTGAGAAAGGAGAAGTGATTCTACGGTTGGGTGATGAGCAAATTAAGTTCAACATGGACAAAGCAATAAAGGATTCTAAAGAAAAGAAACATTGTGCAAAGGTTGCTGTGATAGATAAGCTCAATCAAGTTGAATCAAATTCATTCACTAGTAAAGAGCTCTTTCAAGCGGCTAGAGTTGAGAAAAAGATTGTGGAGGATGCTTATTGTACACAAACTGAGAGCTCTTGGACTACTTCTATATCGTCTCCTAAGACATTGGCACTACTTATCTCAGCCTCCTTGATTTGCTAACATAGTCTAG